CTGAAACTAGGTATCTGTTGCACAAAGTCAGCCAGTTGGACGGTGTTCACCTACCTGGCATTCGCATTCACCGGCCACCATACCGGATTTGGTTCCCGTTGGTTCACATGCACTGGGCTCTGGTCGTTCACTGCACTCGTCTGGCAACGGAAGTCCTTGCTTCTCTGCAATCAAACACTGGTCACATTCCGGATCGACAAGTTTGCCTTCTTCTCTTGCTTGACATTTACAGTATGGGTCTTCAGCGGGTAACAAGCTATCCACACATTCTTTTATAACACTGAAACAAGATAAAGAACATTCGGTGGTTAAATTGAACCTGAAGGACAAAATACACCTTGATTAGATGCGATTTGTCAGTGTCGCAATGGGAGATAAACAGAAAGCATATTGTGAAAATGTTTAAACTCGTTGATTAAAAAGGAGTCATCTTCACGATAATAATCGTCGTCCTATGGGTAGAAAGTTGTGGGGTGGTTTAAAGTGGAAGACTTAGGCTTTATTGGTGTTACTCAAATACACGACTCACGCAGTCATGTAATGCTTTTTAAAATGTAACGAATCCATGAGGTTTTGACCGAAGAAGTTCCGGTTTGATTGCATAGGCGCTTTGGAGCGGGCGTTCAACCTCTAATCTAAACGAATAATAGACTGATAGTTTTCTAAATGTATTATTCACCTTGTGGGAGCAATGGACCTAGCTAATTCCTCTCTCAGAAAGGATTAGTACCTCTGCATCGGTTTGCTCTGGCACATTCACAATGTCAATGCTATCCAATATTACTGCATGTGTGGGATTCTCGGATTCAGTTCACATTAAGGACCGTGATTTCATAATTTTTGAATAAAGTCGTATCAAACGTTTGGCATTCAGTGAGAGAAAAACAAACTCGACAGATATAAAACTGCTGCAGTGGACTGATAGTTCTCGTTCTTACTCAGTTACTGACAACGGACTGCTACTGCTCATCAGCGGAGGTGTCCTCAAGAGTCTCTTAACCAAGCAAATATTTTGCAGAAAATTATTCAGCCTCAACCAGGTATTCGCCGTTTAACTACACTAGATTGCGTAAATAAAGGTAACTGAGAATTTGAAGCGTTATCTGCGAAAAGTGATGAAACTGAACTAACCGTGAATAAATTAGGTCGATTTTCCTAGCACACTGTCATCATAACCCGATTATGCGTTTGCAGTCAGACGGCCTAGTTTTGAAGCGATCCCAGGGTTAGTTCGGTGAGGTTCATCAATTCATTATACAGCCTAGAGGCTGCCAGTGAGTCACAAGTTTTACTGGTTTGGAAGCAAGAAAAGTCCACTTACTGAGGTGATCCTTGCGCGCATTTATCGCACGGGATACAATCATCCGCCAGGGAACTCTCGTACGGTCTGTAGTATCCTTTCTTACATTGTTGACATTGTGGACCGCTTCGGTTTCCGGGACAAGTGAGACAATTTCCTTCATCATCGCACTCATCACAAGCGCATCGCAAACGACACTGGCCTGGCTCTGATGGGTGCTTCTCATATCCGTAAGCGCATTTCTGTTCCAGGTGTACGAATGGAGAAGTGGTTGGTAAGTTGAAGCATAAAATAAAAGAGGTAATGAATATTGTTCAAGATAAGAATCACCAAATTATGAAGATATGTGAGTATAGATTTTAAATATGTTTGGTAGAATAATAGTCATTTATTCCTTATTCTTACATTGAAATAAAGCTGTTAACTCAATGTTTTATGTTTAATTCAATAGAGTACGTGACGTTTTCATAAATTGGCCGAACAACAAGGAAACTGGTTGCAAACAGTACCTCAATGAAAACACTACCGAATCCTTATTACCTTAATAATAAATTATTCGAGAAAAATAACTCTCCCCAATTTTAAATGAGCAATCGATCGTCAAATGTGTATTTTTTTATTTTGAAATTGTTCTTTACCCACCTCACATGATAGACCTTCGTATCCTGGAGGACATTCGCATTGTTCAATCTCTGCAACCCAAACACCTGGCAGATCCGATGGAACCGTATGTTCCAGACGTAAATCTTGCAGCTCAAAACTAATCTGATCGTTGTAGATGTTTGTACGAATACCAAGGCGTTTCACGTTTTTCAAAAGTTCCATAAACTGACTTCGTCCATTGGCATCCGGGAGGCGTTGTGTACAGTTTGGATCGAGGAACCAACGCTCGCGTTCGTTTAGTCGAATAGAGACGTCATTTTCGTAGCCCACACTCATAGCATAGAGTAGAACTCGGTCGGCTGGTGGACACCAGTACAATGATTCTTTCGGACCCTATGCAATAAGAGAAAAGCATGGGGAGTAAAAATCATAATGAAAAGAAGAGAATCGCTTCGTAAAATATTATTATACCGGTAAAGATAAAGATATTTTTACCAACGATGTTAAAAAAGCTAACTCACATGCAGTGCTACCATAGCTCCTTTCAATTGCTCCGTTGTAGAGCCGAACAGTCGAGCGGTGAATCTTAGGTCTTGACCGTAAGATGTTATCTGAAATAGATGAAAATACGAGTCACACATCAATGTACTGTTTACTACACAAGTTGTGCAACAATAGCAAGAACCAATGAAATGTTTGGGTCTATTACATTGAGAACTTGAAGGTTTCTGCGGATCTCAAAGTTTGAGGGGAGGATTTGGTCTTATGGGGTGGTTAACCAAGGAGCTTGAATACCTCGCATTTTGAGAGTGGGATATTATCACATTAAGTTGTAAAACAAAATTGAGATCTATTTAGTTTTATGTGAAGTGAACTGGTCGCAATGCATCGTTCAAATCTAACGAACCGGTCAAGAGAAAGCGAGTAAACTCACCCATGATCCGTTCAAGCCCATTGGACCCTCCAGAAAAGCGTAACCATTAGTTGATCCCTTGTATCGGATTAAACGAGGCGTGAATTCCAGGCCCTGTGTGAACTCATCAACTTCATTGCCCTGATAGGTTCGAATAACAGACGCCTGCTCCGAAATANCGAAATAGTCCATTGTTTGCTGGCCTAGATTGAACAGAAGGGGTGTTCGATTCGAGAAGTTTACTTCAACTTACGTTTTCATTAGCAATACTCTTTTTGATTGTACAGTTACAGAAATTACAGATATGGATCACTGTTTTGGTACGTGTGATACGGCCATATTGAATGGTGAAAACCTTATCACTGTGCAATCCGTTATTTGTTTTAATTAAGTTGACAGAATAACATCTTTACTCAAAATACAAACCATTAGTGTAAAGTAAGACAGTGCTCCTCAACTACTTAGGAATGTTTCACGTTTGACGCGGAAAATCGATTTTGATTGAACAATTCAAATTTTGACAGGCTGATGGGAGTTAACCAAAATTGTTTGTCTCCGATCGATTTGCCGGAAAAATGATAATGGTAGAGAATTACCTGTCTTAGAAACAGTTCGGTTCGGTTCGTTCGGTGGCAAGAGAGAAGAACATTGGACACGACTTTAATTTCAATTACCCTTGTTATCGAGGTATGATAATCTAATAAGAACAGAAGCTATTCACCTTCAAGTGGATCTCGAGTGAAATGATACTAACCAGTTTATTGTTTCTCTGTCTGTACAGGAATGAAGCAAATCACAGAACAATCAAGACATTTAAATACGAGGAAAAAATAGTTCACTGTTCAGTTTGATGAGATCTCGATATAGAAGAATAGCAGAAATGAGTTTTATCGTTTGCTGATAGCGACAACAGGAACCAGACAACTACGTAATCGATTCAATTTAGAAAATGGAAACGAATCTGAATTAATTATTAATCACTTTCACACAAGTGTGTTCCACTGATTAATGAAGAATAGTTATCGACCTGTCTCAGGTCGAAGCATTTTTTGCGGACAATGAAATTTTCTTCACTGCAATCTTGCTTTCAAAAGTGGCTTTCTCTTATCTGATGAAAAGCTTTCGTTTCCTTCCTATGATGTGGAAATAAGAGCTGGTTATCAATCGAACCATGTTCTACTTGATAAGATATTTTTTATTCTATCCCCTTCTCCTCTTTATTCTCTCTCTGAATCCACTTGAATTTATCACCAATCCGCGTGAATAAGACTAATTGAGTTGACATGAATTAGGCACTTGAATTTAATAACGATTTATAACAAAATTATGCGCAAATATCTTTGCGCACTTTCTGCCACTTTTAAGTGAAGAAAACTGATTTCTCAGGAAAGATTTAGAGCTTGTTGTAAATGGCTGCCTCATTTGATCTTTCCCAAGTTTGAAATTTCTCGGCAAAGCTTCATGTTTGTTCCCATGCGTTTTAATTGTTCAATGTTCAAATTTATAAGCCCCAAATCCGAATAAACTGTCCAAACTTTTCAATGTTCACATGCTTGGGCACTTGCCTGTTAAACGACTAGGATTGCCATTCCCGAGTTCAGGGAAAATACAAAGCACGTTACAAATTCTTGATCCCCATTTGTGCTTTATAGGTCATGTTATCATCAACATTTTAATAAACCTCCAATAATTTTGCAATCAAAGCTTTTAGCTTGGTGGGGGAGAGGGAGATGCCGTAGATAGAAACTCAGAATCCGCCATTTGACTTCAGGATGATTCTTCCATTACACGTCCACTCTTAGTGTATATTTACATTGAGAGGTCTGCCCAACACACACGGTAGTCTCCCAATCTTAAACAATAACAAAAGATCATTGTACAACACGACGGATTTGCTTCTGTGTATCTACCTATTGCGTTCCAGTGGGCAGAAGTATGGTAAAACAGAACAAGTAGCAAGTAGTACCGATCACACAAGTAACCGATTTAAGTAAACTGTGAGTTATTAAAGAGCCGTATGCTTCACCATTGTAATTCATTGCTGACTGAATGAATGAATCATCTGTTGACCCTCTAATCTGATCTAGTCCCTCACTAGCAGTAGATATTTCGATCAAGAAAATTAGATGTGATTGCGTTTGTCTTTGTACAGCTTTTCCACATTCTGGCGCAGTACCGTTTCGGTGTTCATCACATATTGCACGACAAGTGATAACAGGGGATCACAAGCATATTACATGTCTTGAGAGCTGGAAGAGGTTATCTTCACTTATCGAAAATCTTCGGGGCTTCACTTCCCCATCCTCGACCATTAAGATCTTATGGCTGCTCTATTCTGAGGAGCAAATTACCTTTTGCCAGCCGAGAAGATCTAGTACCATAATCCTGAATATTCTACACGAAAACCAGACGTCATAATCAAGCAATTATTCAAAACTGGTTTGGTTTTGAAGGAATGGAAGCAGGGTGTGTGCGTGGCAGGACCGGATCTGGTTATGCTATAGTGAGATATCACATTATTTAGTATGCCAAAGAGTAACAAATATTCATTCAATTTTAGCGAACACTGGTCAATCACAATTTATCCATCGCATTATGTTTTGAACCCTTTTGTAGAATCCGTGGAAAATTTGAGTTTTTTAATTCTTTTCTACTCACTTGAGTCAATGGTAGCAGTGCCTGTGCATGTGATAGAACACTGAAGACAACTAGTGAGAGATGGAACCTCAAAACCGGTTGCGTTCAGAAGGGAATTGTCTTCTTAAACCAGCTACGAGTAGAGGTTAATAATACATCAATCAACTCTAAGAATTTGTGGTTTCTAACCTGCCCTGCCCTTTTTTGTGGCTCTCTGTTGGACACCTGAACCACCATTTCCTTCCACCTTAATTTGATTGTACAACTGTGTGGACAATACAAAGAAGTAACTGGTTCGCAACTCAGTTTATATCTAGTAATAGTCTGGGTCTGTATACAGTCACTATCATATCGTTTGCACACCTTAGATGAGAAATATGGCATAAATCGCGGGGTTATTGAATGAATCTTATCGATTAAGATTATAAACCATACAAGATGGAAAGTGTGGAACACACAGGAATAGTGTGTTTACATTTTTCATGAACTTTTGTGTGCATGTATAAGAATAAACCCTCATGTGTAACAACTTCGTGCAGCTCCGTGCCATATAACCGTCACAAGTTGTTTGAACAGTTGTCATGGCATCAAACGAAATAGTTTGGAGCAGTCTGCCACCTAGTTTATGAATTAATTATCCGCAGATGAAAATGAAGCTCTCAGACAGCGTTAGTATAGTGTTCAAAGTCTGAGCGCCTTCACAATCCGATGAGGTCACCCTTATTTGCGTTTCTTCGCGTTTATAAACGCCTGCTCGAAAGTTGTTTATAGGCAACATCTTTGTGGTTAGAAAACAGGGCTGATTTACCCACATGTTGATCTACACAGGGGAATAAATCTGTCATATTTATCATTCTTCACGCAATAAGTGATGAAGATCTCAGAAATCCTAT